GAATTCCTGACTGGTTGAAATATGTCAATTTCTCAAAAAAGTTCATTATTAAATTAAATTAAACCAAATACCATCCTCCTACAAAATGACTTAATGGCATTACCCTCATGCAAAACCTCTAAATAAACAGTTAATGTAACCAAATAATCTCTGACATAAATGCCTTTCAAGTTCTGTTACGACTGAAGACTAAAATTTACTGAAATAATGAGCATGCATACAGATTAGATTCTATCTGTGTAGGAGGAATGTAGAAATTTCACACCAGTACTGTTTCCTCCAAAATGATCAAAATAAGCCAATCAAGATTAAATGCATATTCTTTCTTCAGTTCAGTTTTAAAATGAGTGTCTGTAGTACAGCTACCGCCTCTGTGGCCTTGTGGTCAGAGTTCCTGGCTACAGATCCAGAGGTTCCGGGTCCAATTCCTGGTGCTACCAGATTTTCTGAGAAGTAGTGGGTCTGGAATGGGATTCGCTCAGCCTTGTGAGGATAAATGAGAAGCTATTTCAAGGAAATAGCGGCTCCAGTCTAGAAAACTGAGATTAACAGCCGTGCAAATCCGTTGTGCTGACCACCCTCTATCTGCAAAATGTTGGCACTAACTTCACTGACAAGCAGCAGTTGCTCAGTCAGTATAGTTCGCTTGTGGACTACAGGCCACAGAGTTTTTTGTTTTCTTTTTTTGTTTGTAGTAGAGCAGTATAAATTTCTGGATCATTATGGCTGTTTGCAGACAAACCAGAAATGGTTCAATCTGATGAATGAAAATTCAGAATGCTGAAGTCGTAACGCATATAAAAAATTTGCAAAGACATTGCAGATATTTCCTCATATATAACTGACCTTGACTACATTATCTTAGAAACAAAATCATATGTTACTGGGTAGACCATTGCTGGTTGCTGAATATCAAACAACAAAAGCCATCTGACCAGTGAGCCACTTTCAAGAAAACTGACATTTTGGATTTAGGCCTCTAGTATATATACCATTAATTTCTTGATGATACCACATACGTAGTTTTATTTTGAGACATGGGCTCCCTAAATTACCAAACTGTAATCAAAACTGTTTCTATGTGCTGGGGCTGATTTGAAGGGCCCTTGTTTTTGGAGCCAGAATGTTCAGATTCACTGGGCATTGACATAGGATGGATAAACCCTTGCATACTGAATATGAAAATCCACTGAAAGGTTCAGGCAGTAGCAAGGCACACATCTCTATAATGGAGATAGATGCAATTCCATATAACATTTATTCACATTTAGGGGCACTCAAAACATAAGAATCAGTCCAAATCTTCAGATCAAACTTTCTCACAATCATTATCCTTGATCATATATACTACGTATAAGAGAAAGGAGTAGTAGTAGTCATCATCATAATCATCATTGGCGTGGCCATGGTAAAAAGAAGCTATCCTTGTAACAGGCCATAAAGGCCTATGAGGTTGTGAGACGTTGAGGCTCCCAAGTTTTCTCTAGGCAACTGGCTCGCAAATGGTGGTATGGCTGTCAGCTTTACATGCCAGTCACCCTTTACCCCCAGTAGTAGTAATAATAAAAAGCTTCATAAAACAAATTACAACATTACCTACAATATAAGAAGTGCTGAAAATGCTGTACACATATGCACTCTATTATTGTTTACACAGGTTGAGCCTGATACAAGGGCATTCTCCATCAATAACTTCTAAGTCTTTTTTTTTTTTTCAGACACTCTCCATCTCCATCGAGTATGACACATTTGGTGTCGATAGCACATTATGAAGTACTTCATAATGTTCCTGAGGTCGTATGGTTTCAGCATGACAAAGCTGTGTGCTATCGACACCAAATGCGTCATACTCGATGGAGATGGAGAGTGTCTGTCGTACATCCTCCAATAATAGAGGGTGAGTTCTCTCAAGGAACTCAAGAGTCCTGGATTCCAATTACATGAATCACTAGCATGTATGCTACAATTAGGTTAACATCTACAATTCTGATTGAAACATTGATGCTAAATCTTTTTTTAAATGAAGAGCATCAACTATCATGAGGATGCTCCAGTGATTGGTCAAGTAGGCTGTGGAAACTGTTCACTTCACTCATATACACTGCCACACAAGGCACAAAAAGTCAGGTTCATCTATAATTTCCTGCAGAAGATGTCAGGAGAACTGGAGGCATTTATTTCTACTGTTCCCTGGCTGTAGCCCTTGCACAAGACGTACATGAAAAAGTAATGCTACTTCCTGCAGTGTATGCCAAATTGCACCCTAAGAGAAGCCAGAGACCCAAGAAAGGTTAACTGACAGATTAGCACGTAACAATTCCTTTCTCTTCATTATACATACTGCACCTCCCACAGCCAATATATGCTGGTGGCATGACTGCATGTTTCCCTCAGACTACACTATACCACTGCAAATACATGTCTGTTGAGTTGCCTCCAATCTGGATACCAATGCCTGTATTGGCTTGATGTGTTTTCATCACAAAAGCCATATCAGCAAACTCTAAATTAGTAGATCACGCAACCTTCAGTATTCAGTATTGAGGGGGTGGGTTTCCCCATGCACCGTGACCGATAGTCTATTGTATGTCCCCCTTTTAATTTCTACTGTCTCCATCCCCTACCGGTACTGGTGCTCGCTATCAGCCCCTTTCTGCCAGCGAGGTTCCAATCCTCTACTGGCAGTGGCATCTAACAGTTAGTCCCTTTCTATCAGAGAGGTCGCCCCTCCTTTGGCAGCGGTACCTAATACTTCCCCCATCTACCGGAGGCATTGGAAACTACTTTGGGTGGGAAACTTTTGGCCAAATTTAGCTCAGAGGTCTCCTAGAGACATGAGGTTCTTTTACGTGCCGTAAATCTACGACACGGTACCCACGGCTTGAAGTCCCTCCCAGAGGACTTGTTCCCTGAAATTTTCCGCCCTTAAAAATTCCACAACCTCCGCCGGGTTTGAACTCACGTACCTTGAGTCATGCGGTGGGAATGTTACCCTAGACTACAGAGGCTGCTCCCTCATGCAACCTTGCATCTTAGTTACCTACTCTGATGTTGGAGGCAGAGCCAGAAACAAATGAATTATGAGCCCCATCTTGTAATATTATGAACCCTCCACCACACAAACATAAAAGAATCAATAATACGAGTATAAACCTGGAATTACTACTCTTCTGAAACAGTGGCTGCTTTATATCTTCTGCTTCGAATTCTCTCAACAACTGCCTAAGGATTGACCACAGGACTAGAATCACACCATATACTGAGATATAGCATATAAACTGACACCACATTTTGCTGTTAACCAAATAAGCCATCATTTATACTCCAGAGAAGTATCTCAAGTGCTTCAATTCCAATCTTACGAGCATTAGCGGCCACACTCCATAAATTTGACTTAACACTTTGCGGACTGGTGGCATATGTTTATGCCCAGAGCTTTTAAACATGGCGGACCGGTGGCATATTATTATGCATATTAGCATACGGTGCTTGCCACACACTCCACCAGGTTCAAAGACGAATATACACGAAAATGCCCCTTTATAAAATTCTGACCAACATTTTCATGGAAAACAAAACTAATGCTTAATGCAATATGACAACAGTATCAATAACTGCACATATGTACTCCACCACATCAATCCTTGATCAACACTGACATGAAAATGCCCCTTGTTCAAGTTTCAACCAACACACAACTTTTGTGGAAGAAGCTGATTTTAAGTGCCCCACATTGTGTTACCACAATGCACTCAACTTTAACCATATTTTCCAAGAAAATTATGCATCAGTCAAAAATTTTATCTAGGATAAAAACATGGCATTTAATCTCTTGTGGAGAGACTTCTTGCCCAAAATTTGGTTGCATAAACTATAAGATAAATAAAGCAGTTTCTATCAGTACAGGGGATAGCCCATTTCATGTTCCTCAACTTAAGGTTCAATGCCAGTGATCCCAAATCAATAACCCTAGCATTACAATTTATTCACTTGAGGTTCTAATCAGTTAGTGCTGAAATTTGTTGCATCCCTCAGAAACTTCGTGGGGGGTATTTCACTGTACCAAATGAGTAATCACAGAAAAATATGAAAATTATCCTCTAAAGCTAACCGATAATGGTCTATTCATTACGTGAATATTATGTTGGACACTGTCCATCATCTCCAATATATTTTGAATACACAATGGTTTTTGGCAACTGGATCCATTTCCATCTTCTGGTATACTAGGGGACTACTCAGTTGGGCCTCTTTATGGAGGCTACTAGCTCTATCTAACAAGCCCAACTACTCACCATTACACTTGATGACAGACACAGATCCAATTTCTCAAATATTGTGCACATTAAACATATTTCAGACAAGCAACAACTTCCAACATACTATCTTACATGCGACAACTATACAACTTTCATACACGAGTAAATATAAGCCAGAATCAATATGTTCCTTGGGGAGGGGGAGGAGGCTGTGGTATATCTTGCACAACAAGAGAGTTACGTTTACAAAAATATAATCCATAGCAAATCCCCAGTGAAATGAAATAACAATTAAATAAAACTCAGACAAAATTACACATCCTTCTCAATAACCTATACAGTTGTAAAAGCATTACTAAATACTCAAGACATCAGTGATACACAGTTTTCCCTGGAAACACATTTACAATGCACTGATTCTAATACATGTTAGAAGAAAAGAAGTTAAACATGAGCTTACTTAAACCCTCATACAAGTTGGATGACCACAGCAGCCATATGGAGGGGTTAAATATCTAAATATGAACAAAAGTAATTTTGGTACTCCGAAGTCTCTATTTAAAACAAAATATATATATATATATTGTAACCGAAATGTGTATACCTAAATTGTCTGTAAAATATGAGTTCTATTATGTCTAATAAATATGAGCTGAAATAAAAATGGGAACATGGAGTGGTTAATAAGACACCAACTCCAAAATAAACATGGTGTATCTGGAAGAGGAAAATGTTCAATACCTCTGTCAAAAGTCGCTTCAGCCCCTCCACTTCATCTTCTCCAGGATTCAATTCACCACCTGGCCTGAAAAAGGTTATTGTCATGATAAAACTCTTTTCACTCCCTCTATAAATGTGTTTGCTTAACGGGCTTGGCATGCATATTGTGGTATGATGCGAAAAAATCAGAACATCTTTTTTTTTTTTTGGTCAATGGCTCTTCCCGCCCATTCAGGGCCCAGGCCTCTTAATTCAGTTCCATAATCATTTTTTCAGACAGTATGATTCCTAGGACGAGTGATCAGACTGTCAGAGGGCTGCTAACTAGACAAAGGACAACACAAACACAGAACAAACACATACACACACCAAATATCTATGCCTTGAGTGGGATTCAAACCCATGATCCCAGCGTCTGAGTGCACGAAGACAGATTATGCCTTAGACCACGCAACTACTCACAGAAATATCACTGATGTCAATTACTTGATAACATCACAGCAAAACATATATCCAAAGCAATGGGCATGCCCACATCTGTCTAAATACTGTTCAGTGAAGTATCATCTAGTGAGTCTGCAACAGGACGTATAGGGAGAGCGTGCAACCTAATAATGAGTCCACGACAACAGAGTACCAGAGGAACAAGCAAGAACAGTCTAATAGACTGTGAACAATTTTAATTACTTGCACACAGTTGTAGCGAAGGGACTTCAGTGTTAATACAATCCATTTACAACATGAACCCACTATGTAGTTACTCACGTGACACAGCATGTTTTATCATATTACTAAACGCCACAGTTTCTAATCCCTGGGGATTCATCACAGTCCAAAAGAAGAAATCCACAAATATCACTGTATTATGGACAAAATCTGCACACAGAGATTCTACTAACATCATTTTTAGTGGCCTCCATAGTCTAGGGGTAACGTTCCCACCTCATGACTCAAGGTACACGGGTTCAAAAAACCCGGTGGGGGTTGTGGAATTTTTAAGGGTGGAAAAATTCAGGGAACAAGTCCTCCGGGAGGTACTTTAAGCCGTGGGTCCCGTGTAGTAGACTTACGGCACGTAAAAGAACCTCATGTCTCTAGGAGACCTCTGAGCTAAATTAGGCCAAAAAGTTTCCCGCCCAAGTAGTTTCCAATGCCTCCGGTAGATGGGGAAGTATTAGGTACCACTGCCAGAGGAGGGATGACCTTGCTGACAGAAAGGGACTAACTATTAGATACCACTGCCAAGTAGAGGGTAGAAACCTTGCTGGCAGAAAGGGGCTGATAGCGAACACCAGTACCGGTAGGGGATGGAGACAGTAGAAATTAAAAGGGGGGACGTACAATAGACTATCAGTCGCGGTGCATGGGGAAACCCACCCCCTCAATACTGAATAACTGAACATCATTTTAAGACTGCATCCTGTTGCGTATATACAATTAACATATACAATTTTTACACTCAATGCAACAATATTATTTATTTATATAGCATAGCTGACATCATTTAGGATGACTCAGGAATTATTTTATTGCTCTTTTCTTTTGATTGTGATTCCATTGCTTTTACAGTGAAAAGGTAAAAGTCGTTCTGTCCAGATATGGTAATTTAAACCAGAAAGTATGGAAAACAATCCTGAAGCATTTTTATAGAACTGAAAGTAACCAATTTTAACAACGTGCTGGTCACATTACACTTCAGAAGTGAGGAATTTTGATGTTTTAACACAAAGCGAAACATACATGACCTTTTCCCATCAGTAAACAATGACATCAAGAGATAAAAAACCCCTAAATTTTCCAAGACACTGAGGCAATGTCACAAGATAACAACAGAAACTTACAGTTTGAAGAATGTTGTGCCCAACTGCAGCAACAACACATGAGGTAAACCATGCTCATGAACCAACAAGACTCCCTCTACACTACGGCGCATTCCAATCTTCTCAAATTCATCTCTCATCCGCTGAAACCTTGCAGGCACAGAAGGGTCCTTTTCAAACAGTGGTTCCTTTGTGCCAAATGTGTAATTTGTAAGTGGATACCTACAAAAGAAAATACACTACAATTGCGGCAATCCAGCTATGCGCTAGTCCAACACGTCCAGTAATTCGACATCAGGCGTCCACAACCTTGTGCAGGTTTCTACAGGCAGCAGAGGCAGACTTGTGTTCAGTCGAGCTTGACACACTGATTTATTTTTTCCCTCACTAGTACACAGTGCTTCAGTTCTTCAATAATATACATTCCTGTACACTACTTTTCATACAGAGGTGGATTTAATATGTGCTGAAGATATCCAGTTCTGACAAACATAAACATAAAACTTTAAGTGCTAAAGCGGAAATAATTAAGAAACTTGACAAAGGTGAAAAACTTACTAATTTGGTTAAAGAGTATGGTGTTGGATGTGCTACGATATGCAATATAAGGAAAAACAGTGAGAAGGCTGTTTTGTGAAAAATACCGAGAGCAGCCCCTTTGACAGGCAGATTCTAAAATCTGGTGAGTACCCTGAAGTTGAAGATGCTCTTTACACTTGGTTCTTACAAGAATGTAACAGACACATTCCTATTTCTGAGGAAATTATTTGAGAGACGGCAAAATATTTTTTAAAAAATGATGATGATATCTTGTGACGTCTCAGCTGTTCTATCCTTTTGTGAGAAAATGTCCCCCACCAAAAAAAAAAAAACTGAAGAGCTANCCCCCCAAAAAAAAAAAAAAAAAACTGAAGAGCTAGGTCTTAGGCCAAAGCAGGTGTATAACGCAGACGAAAGTGGTCTATTTTGGAGGCTCTTGCCCAAAGAAACTTTTGTCCATCGAGCTGAAGAAAGTGCAGCAAGGCGCATAATGTCCAAAACCTGAATTACATTCATGCCTTGTTTAAATGCAAGTGGCACCCACAAACTTCAAATGCTGGTGACTGGTAGGGTAGAAAAGCCTAGAGCATTTAAAAACCAAAATCATCCAGTCACACACAAAAGCCAAAGCCATGGTTGTGTAACACGAGAAGTGTTTACTGAAAGGCTCCATGAAAGTTTTGAGCCATTAGTAAAAACATTTCTTAAAAAGTAAAATTTACTGTTTAAAAGCATTATTAATTTTAGATAATGCTCCTGGACACCCAAGTGAAGAATATTTAAAATCAAGAGATGGTTCACAACATAGGTAATGCTTCTACTGCCAAACTGCACCCCACTTCTACAACATATGGAGCAGAATGTTATACAGTTTGTGAAGTCACATTACAAAAGGAGCATTCTATGCAGTGAAATAAGACATGATGATGATATCATTCAATGTCAGAAATGAACAAAATTCAAACACATACTTTTTAATCTCGCATACACAAGACAAAACGTACCTCCTAAAACAATTTCTTCTAGGAAATATTTGTGGCCTTCACATCTATCTGGTAGCAGTGAGCTCACACGGCCACAGATTCAGAACATAATGGTACAGTCCTAACTTCTGATCTCCAAGAAGCAATAACCAAACTGTGTGAAAAAGGCTCATCAGGTCCAACAATTGCTGACATAAGTAACTGGCTAGCTGGAGGTGTGGAGGAAAATCTTCAAATCATGACAGATGAAGAGATGACACCACAAGTGCCTTCAAGATGTGTTATAAATGGGCCAAAGAAAACAACGTGCAAGCTGAAGATATCCTCACATTGAAAAGATTGCAAGAAAAAGTTCTAAAAGAGGCATTCAGAAACGACCTTCTTCACAAGTATCTCAAAAGCATATCCCTCATAAAAGTGATGGGATCAGTATTACACACATATAAGCATGAGATATTCCATTCTTCTACCATGAAGCCCATAAGATCATAATCTAAATACACCTTTGAATAAAGTTATTTACAACTTTAAAACAAGTGAAAATATTTAT